GAAATAGATTGAAGTTTTGTGATTACAGTGATGCATAATTTATATGGTTTTGTAACAAATTGCTCGCTATTTTACGGCAAATGCTGAAGCTCTGCAAACCTTAATCAAGCCTTAAGCCCCATACTCACACTTCGCTACTTCACTTCGTTCCTTCCTCGCGTCCCTTCATCCAAAAATCATATATTTACTATGTGAAAATGTCGATATTTTGTATATTATATTATTTTTCTTGTTACGAGCTTTCTAAAATACTTATTTTCATAAACGGGGTAAAAATGCATTATTTAACTTTATTACATAGTCGGCCGGTTTAAGTTAGGTAATCAAAACAATCAACTAATTTATTCGACGTAAAATGTTGGTTATTGGCATGTTATTTAAAAGCAGCACAAGTTCAGTTTCCGTGTAGTTTATCAAAATATCACGATGCAAAGCAAAATTATCTGGTAAAATTAAATTAAATAAAATAAGAGCCGTTTAGCAGTTTAGCAGTACCTAAATATATAAATATAGAGTATATTATAATTTTCGAAAGCTCATAACAAGGCAAATAAAATAAAAAATAATATATAGAGTGTCCTGTTTAAAAAAAAGAACATAAGTTTAAGTCATTTTTCGAAATAGACAGCTCCCAACGAAGAACCACTTTCGTCACTGCCATTCTACCTGAAAAACGAGACACGGGCGGTGGGTAAGTACTCAATAGGTAAAACAAAACAAAAAATTAGGGTATCCGGTATATACCTGTACATTTAGATGAACAGTCTAATTTTATAAAAGGTATTTCCAACGACCGCATAGTAAATACCCGATATAAGACCAGTAATATCAGGAAAACGAGTATATCTACAATATTTCTCATATATATATTGTAGATATTATATATTGGTATATTTCTATTCCCGGTATTATACCGGGTATTTATGCGGTTGTCGGAAACTCCTTTTATTAAAATTAGGATGTTGATCTAAATCTACAGGTATATACATATATACCCAGATTTTATTTATCTATAAATTGGGTACTTACCCACCGCCCATCACTGACCCTTTTCACCTTTTAGATAAGTTATAAGATAATCGAGATACAAAGGTTATCGAAAAATGCAAAAATTTCTACTAATTAAAAAATAAAAAGTAAAAGAAAGAAATAAGAAATAACTAAGAAGGCTACAAAGACAAACAAAGACAAATAATTAGTATGTCATATTTCATTTTTTTTCGATATAAATTACATAATAAACTTTACTCTATTGTTGACTCGTCTTGTACATTCATACTGATACACCTTGTACATGATACTGAAATATTCGGATTTATTAAAAAAAAATATACTATTAAAATTCAATTTTTATTTTTGACACGACAAAGAATTGCAGTTTTATAAAATAAAAATTATGCGCCTTTCGGATTTTTTAAAAATTTTATTGGTCACTAGATATTTCGTATTAAACATGTAGCTGCTATATTAAAAATATTTTGTGGTGTGTTGTTGCATAACTGACTAATTTCCAAGCATCGAATGGACGAAGGAAGGAAGCGAAGGGACGAAGGAACGCGAGGAAGTAACGCGAGGAAGTAAGGCGAGGAAGGAGCGAAGTGTGAGTATGGGGCTTTAATCAAAGCACGTGTATTTCGAATTTTGGGTATGGCTTTACAAGAAAAATCGGGTTAAGCCTTAGGCAAATTTTTGAAATATAATATATATTTCCTTCGACCACACACCCGCTTTACCCTACCCCTGAGAGCAACCCGAACAGTACAGCGTCATAGACTCTTAAGATAATTATTTTTATAAAATAAATGAGTATAGAAATGGTTGATGGACAATGACGAAAAAGACAGATATTCTATTTGATCGAAAGAAAAACGGCGTCTAAGACGGCTGGGGAATGACAATCGATTATAATTTTGGTATAATCAAGACTTATAAACTAATAAATCAAATAGCTAGCCAATGAAAAATACAGCTTATCCTTTATCATTTTGAGTCGTGTAACTATGCTCGCTTCCGAGTAAAATTGAAATTCTGATCAGGTTTGCTTTGAAAACCAGATGAGAATGGTGTAAATCGTGATTGACGTCGCCTACTTGTCAAACAGTGATCCGTGTCAGGTACATGTTTACTGCGATGTCAAATATACAGGTTGTTAATTTGTTTATTACTCGCGGCAAGAGCTTTATGGTTGAAATATGGCAACCTCGGCCTGCTCGTCGAGAGTCGACGTGACGGGACGAGTCGGCAGCTTGCAGCGCTTTCACATGGAGCGGAGCGTCCGCGACGGACCGTCCGTCGTTTTTCAAGATAGCCGTTGGACGGAGCATACGCGACCATGTGAAATTGTTCATATAAACTCATGGTACTTGCTTGAAGGTGCGGACGCTCCGTCGCGGACAGTCCGCTCCATCTGCAGGCAATGTTACCATTCTGTTCCGCAATAAGTAACCGTCCAGTTAACAATCTGTATGTAGTTATTCTAATACATACATGTTTGTATAACCCAAAACAAAACATTTGTAGAATTCTGAAAAATCAGGGCAAATATATTTCTGGTTAATCACTCTATACACAAAAGTAAAAATTAATTTTATTTAGCATTTTTGCATAGAGGTAAATTGTGTCCAATGAACTTATTCTGATTCCAGGAATACGCAGTAGTAGTCCACTAAATGCTCATATTTTCAAAATTGGTTGCATTTTAGTGTTAAAAGGCAAAGGTACAGTCAGCAGTTCCTGTTCCGGGACACCTGGCGCTGAGAAGCGCGCAAAGGTGTAGTTTTAATTTACACCTCCAAACTGTCTTCTGAAGGTTGAAAATTTGTAGATAACATACGAATGCAGTGTAAAACAGTTAGACAGACAAGTATGGGGACACAAAGCTCAGCGCTACCTCAAACGCGCTGTGTATTTTTCCAACGATGTACTTAAACAGCCGTTAAACGGTAGCCTACTAAAATGCCGTTAATAGATATTGTGACGTCGTTCATGTCGGCGGAAAGTAATGCCTAGCCTTAAGCATTCTGCAGGAGCACATGTGGGTCAGTGGCTGAGGCTATCGCTTCGTAAGCGAATGGTCCGTGGTTCAAATCTCACGCCGACCAAGACTTTTTTATATTTTTTTTTGCTTATATCGTGATCTTATTGCATTGGTTTCACTTTTTTTAGTTGGATTGGTTTAGTTATTTGGCGGGTTGGTTAGCGTGGTTATTTGGAGGGTGTTAATTCGTTGATTAGTTGGCTATTTGGTGGGGTTGGTTGATTTTTACTAATTTATATTTGTTTTTTATATTTTTTATCAGTGTCGAGAAGCCGTCAAGTGCGTCACATCAACGACGTCATACCTATTAACGGCATTTTAGTAAGCTACCGTTTAGCGGCAGTTTAAGTACAGTCTTTTTCCAACCCTCAACTGTAAGCCTATTTTTCAAATACAATCAAGCTAAGAAACTAGTCGGATGGAGCACAGGTGTAGTAGGTGTACGAGCCTGTTGTAATTCGCACACTTTTTTAAGATGTATCGGTTACATCTGCGGAATTCATGTCATTCGGTGTCACATCTCCTTCTCCTATCAACCAAAACAATCGGCATTGTCGCACATTAATTCGGCAAGAAGGAAGGGAAAACAACAATTTTATATCTAGTTACCGTTAAATTAAAAAGGAGCGCCCGCATATCATTGGTCCGGTTCGACTGCGGCAGAAAAATCAACGTCGTGTCCGTTTAAATTGGCGAATATTTTTGCCAGTCCGCGTAACGGGGTTTTAACTTCTTTCTTTAATTTTTTATTGGATAAAACGGGGTCAAGGTTTCGATTTTATCCCGTCGGATAGCACCTGTTTTAAGTTTTTTATCTTAGGCCAGTATCAACAGTATCAAATTTCTTTGTCAAAGATTTTTTTCGTCAAAGAATTTGACAGTGTAATATATGTGATTTTATAAGATATTGTATATTAACAATGTCAAATATCTCTTATAAAAGATCTTTGACAAAGAAATTTGATAGTGAAATACTAGCCTTATATTTTCAAAAAAATCCTATATAATATGTATTTCGCCACTGCAAAAAAATCTACAAAATAAAATTGTTATTTTTTGTAAACACTTCTGCGTTAAACCTAAACGGACACTACTTGTCAGAAGTTAGATTTACAGATATACAAATTTGCCTAACTAACAAAAAAATGCTTAACGTTTCGGAAAGTTTATCTCTTTCCGTCGTCGGAAGCAAAAAATACAAAGAATAAAGGAATGACATGATATCAAGTTAAACATCAAAATTAACAATTACTACCTGATAACAATTACTTAATAAGGTAAAACCAAAAAGTCTCGAACTTTCTGTATGATTATTTTTAATTTGTTTTTAATTTTTACCTATGTTATGTTCTTTAAAATCAAAGAAGCGATTGCCATACATTACTAACATCTACAGATGCATGAGTAATAAAGACAATACAATTATGTTAATACAATCTAATAAAAATAAATGTATTGCCCATGCATCTGTAGATGTTAGTAATGTATGGCATTCGCTTCTTTGATTTTAAAGAACATACTTTATATTAAATATAAAGGGAAATTAAAATAACTTTCGTTGCACATCACGACCACCAGCAAACTCCATAAGACGACGCATGGTGTCATTGATGAGGTGCAACGAAAGTTGTTCCAATTTCCCTAAAGTTATAGTACTCTAAAGCCCAGTTCATGCACTTGCGAAATGCGATTTACGAATTGCGAAATGCGTTCTTTTTGCCTTGCAATTTGCAATTGGTCGCTTTCAAGGTCTTTCTTGAAGGTAGCCAATCAGAACGCAAGCAGGAGCCAGTTTTGAGACGCACCCGGTATGTTTATACATAATCCATACAATTTTTTTTTCCTTCTTGGGTAGGAGAAAGAAAGAAAAAAAATAAAAAAAAATAAAAAAATAAAATAAAATCAAGAAAAAAGAAACAATTTATACATATTGAAGGCTAATATATTTTTGTGGTATTTTCAGAAGTACAAATGCAGTAAGACAAAGAACCAGCAATGGGAATCGACGTGAAAATACTGATTTTAACGCTGAGCTGCGTGAGTTGCGCATTAGCAAACAATGGTGAGTAAAAAAATTGATTCTGCGAAGGGTGAACGTGCAAAGATAATTTGCAAAGGGTAAAAATATGCCGATCTATTTATTCCAAGCCCGTTCATGCGAAACATTCTTATTATAAACTAGGGATGTTCAGTTTAAGGATGATATCGATATGTATTTTTTCGATATTTTTTATCTGACTATACGGTGTAAATATTTGGACATATATCGGACTAATGTTATATTTTGGGAGCGTACATAAATTGTGAGGCCTTTTTTATCAATACTTCCTTCCCTAATCTTACGTGAGATCCTTTAAAATTTATGTTTTGAGTATAAATGCATCGGATTTATTTAACCCTTTATAGCTTGATGGTCGCTGAATCGACCACTTTAATTTAACCAACTAATCAGTCGCGTGGAAGTGTATCATCGCCCAGTTTGTTTGCTATGCTTATTTCTATGCTCGCTTTGGCCATTTAATCAACCATATCTATACGTTGGCCGAATTGATGCGAAAAGTTAACCTAAGCGGTTGAATATTCGACCAGTGAGCATTGGTGACACTGAGTTCGTTCTTTATCATATATGTTATAATTGTCGTCTAAGAATTTTCTATGCAAATTTCGTGTAATAGAAATTTAAAAATATTGAAACGAATGTATCTGTGATGTTTATTTCTTTTTATTTCGTGCACCAGATTTACGACTCGGATGATATTAGTGGCAACGTGTTTTAAAAATATCGATATCGATATTTACATGTATCGATATTTTGAAAATATCGATATCGTTGGACATCCCTGCTCTAAACGTTATCGTGGCCATTCGAGCAACGTGTTTTGCTGTTTGGCGGCATTACACGGGCCATTTATAACGATTTATTTACGGTGAGACTGAAAATAGTCGCGGATCCGTCGATTTGATCTTTTTAGTGCATTTTGCAATTTTATGTCGTTACGGCGCGTACATTTTTTCTTCGCCCAGTTCTAGAAGAAACTTTTAATTGCTCCGGTAATCGACGAGTTCGTATGACTAGAGTCGAATAATAACCTATAGTGTTGAAGTTTTACCAAATCCTATTTTATTGGAATTATTTAAATACTTTTGTAACTTAATTATGACGAGTGTGTCACGAAAATTGGAATAAATTGCAAACTATTAAAAATAGGTAAATGATGTATGTATATACCTTATAAAAGTTTGTAAAATCTCTCAGAAAAAGTGATAAAATATGGGGTGCGCCACAAAAAAAATGAGATTTCTTAATTATTTTAAATAGTTGAAATTCATAAATATATTTTGAACACCCTGTAGCATATAACTCAAATATCTTTACATATATCTTTTTCCTCATCTCTATTAAACTCTCTTACGAAATTTTAAATGACACTGTCAACTTCAGAAACAACAATGAACATTTCTTTAAACAAATTGAAATACACTACTCAAAACAATTATGGCATATTGAATAATTATATTAATTTGAATAAAAGTAATTAGTACATATTTCTAAATGAAGCATGCATTTTTTTGCCTTTTTCTTGTGAGTTTTTTAGGATAATTAGGGTACGCACGGACATGTAATTTTTAATCGGCCGACTATTTAGTTGCATATTCGTAACCAATATATCCTTATGATAAAATGCAATCAAATAGTTGGCCGATCGACTTCATAATTAAGTATGTATTGTTTTCACTTTTGCTACTAAATAGTCGGCCGACTAAAAATTACAGGTGAGCGTGTAGGCTTATTGTATATAATTTCCCTTCACAGTATTCATACTATTTAAAATCGTAAGTCAGGGAATTCAAAGTGTCTTGTTTTACAAATTAATATTTTTTTTAGAAAATATGCGATAATTGTTTTGAGTAGTTTATTGCAAGAACTATTAATTTTAGGTATATAACATTATACATAAAACACTCCACGCAAACAGAATCTAAAAATAAAATAAAAAATAGAGCGTAGCATTTAAAAAATATATGTTATATCCGCCACACCTTTTTGAAGCACACTGTATATTCTATAATAATTTTAAAACGTGTATTTTAACCTTCCCTATAACTTTTATATTGAACATTTTTTTTTTGTAAACCTCAAAAGAAATGAGATAATGGACTACTCTATCGTTGACTCAATCTCTCAGAAATCTTTGCGTGTATTATAAGTTTGAAACTTCCATAAGAAGCATCTTAACAAAAAAGAATATACCGGAAACATCAAAACAAGTAAACAAATTGTTATCTACCTAAGGTAAATTATTGTGATAAGTTTATAGGAACTCGTATATTCTGTGTACTCTATGGGTTGGAACTCGTTGGTCTCTTTATTTTCTGAGTTACCTTGGGAAGGCCACTCTGCCATTAGGAATCGTGCGTGACCACCAGACATATTCTGTATCTTAATGTTAACAAAACGACAAATCCCGTAAAATAAAACAATTTACAGTCAATTTTCGACACAACAAAACATGAAATGTGCGAATAAGCATTTCTTACGAAAAAAAAAAGTTTTTGTAATATGTATGTTTTTGAAAATCATTTTGGATGGTTTAAGACGGTATCTTCTTTTAATTAAAACCATAAAGGACTATAAAGTTAATTGTGTCATAAAGTAATAAGTGCTCATTAATTTTTTTGCGTTTTTTTCTATATGGTGCTCTTGCAGAGCTCTAAAAACCAGGAATAGCCTGTAACGTCTCGTCAGAATGATATCGTAAATTAGTTAGAAACAACACAAAAACCGATTAGAAAAACAGGACATCGAGTGGATAATTGCCGTCAGCAAGTTCGTTTAATTTAATTCTCGTTTGGCATCGTCGCTGCTGCTGCTGGTGCTATCGTTTGCCGACATGAGCAAACTCTGCCAACAGTGCCAACGACAAAATTGATTTAATGGCTTTATAAGGTGGCGATAGTCTGGGGGATTTGGGGCCTTTAGCGTCGTTTTTGCTGGCAGGGCTGTTTGATATCCTGTCGAGATACCATTATAGTTAATTGGACGCGCAATTTCGAGATATTCTCGCATAATGCCGCCGGGCTTCATGTCCGTAATTGAATATTTATCATGTTCCTTCGCTGCGGTTATTCGTATTATTCCTCTTTTCAGTAGCTGCTATTATAATTCGTTATATGAACAGTGTTAGCATTTTATGTTGGCTCGCATTAAACCAGCTTGATTTTTTGTTGTTTTTGAACTAAACTTACGTGCATAGAAATCGGCCCACTGTGAACTTTTGGTTTTAACTGTGTCTTTTAGAATCTATTTATCATGGCAAGTAAAAAATATGAGCTGTTTCAAAGACAATTTAACATGCTTTAATATGAGCATAAATTTATTCAAGGTACTTATCGTTTATATGCGTACCAACGGATAAACAAATAAAAGGTATTGGTGTTGTGGTGACAATAAGAATAACAAACTTGTCAAATATTGCAATTACTACCTTTGTAATCGAAATTTTCACATTGTTCTTTTATTCTTTGATTAGTTGTCTTTCATTGTTTGATTAGTGTTTCAATTTAATGCATACATGACCGGAAAAAGCCGCCCAAGTAATCGCTTTAATCGAAAATGGACTTAAACAGAGAGCTGTAGCTCGGCAACTACATATGACACGCGGAGCGGTTCGAAGAGTGTGTGAACGATATGAGGAGACTCGATCCTTTCGTAGTCGATCTGAAACTGGTAGAAAGAGATATACAACGGATCGTGATGACCGCTTTATTGTGTCAACAATGTTAAGAAATCGGCGCCTTAATGCTATTCAGGTGCAACAATAGCTCCGTGAAACACGAGGAGTGACTATTAGTCAGTGGACAGTAAGACGAAGATTGAAGGAAAGTAACATGACCCCTAAAACACCCGCAATTGGTCCAAACCTTACCCCAGCTCATCGTCAAGCACGCCTGCGTTTTGCACTGGAACATCTGAATTGGACACTAGAACAATGGGAATCTGTTTTATTCTCAGATGAGACCAGGATATGCCTCTATGGTAGCGACCAATGAAGAAAAGTGTACCGGAGGCCAGGTGAGCGATTTACAGAATGCTGCATTGAGGAGCGGATTGCATATGGAGGTGGTTCCTGCATGATCTGGGATGCAATTTTTATGACTGCGCGAACCGACCCAGTTTTCATCCGTTCGGGCGACCGTCGACACGGGAGAGGAGGTTTAACTGGTGCTAGGTATATTGAGGAGATTTTAGCAGTTCATGTGGTACCTTACGTCGACTACATTGGAAACGAATTCACTGTTATGTATGACAATGCGAAGGCACACACATCAAGAATCGTACACGATTACATTTCAGAAGTCGGATTTCCGGTTATGGAATGGCCAGCATGCAGTCCAGACTTAAACCCGATAGAACATTTATGAGATGAGCTAAAACGAAGAATTCGTACTAGACGAAGAGCCCCAACTTCTATCCCAGAGCTCATTGTTGCAGTAGAGGAAGAGTGGCTTAACATCCCGCAAGAAACAATATCAAATTTGATCGAATCTATGCCAAATCGTATGAGAGATGTTGTTAGAGCAAGAGGGGGTCGTACCCATTATTGAAAATTTAGTTTAGTTAATTGTCCATAAATAAATAATAACATACCTCTTATAGTAATAAAAAAACGATAATTTGTTTCATGCATTAATTTAATAATTTTAATTCAAAGAAATCAAAATACAAATTAATATCTCTAAACTCTTTTCAAAGAATATGAAATTGTCTTTCAAACAGCATGTATTTTTTCTTAATCTGACAAATAGATTCTAAAAAATATAGTTAACTTTAAAATTTTGCCTTGGGCCGATTTCTATGCACGCAAGTGTAGATCGTCCATTGAAAAAATACATTATAAGGTTTTGAGCTTAATAAGTATGACCAAAAATAGCACACGCTGATCAAATTGATAAGGAATATACAGGGTGGTCCGAACGGTATTCCGGAAAATTCGGCAGCATATTATGCAGGTAAAAATAAGTAAAAAAGTTCGTATAAATGCAGGTATGTCCTAAAATGCTTAGTTACGGAGATACAGGGTGTAGAAGTTTCATTTCTAATTCGATTTTTTACGTAAAAAGGTCTTTTGGTAAAAATCGCTACGAGCAACTGTTCTCAAGATATTTAAAATGGAAATAATCAATACATGTCATTATTAACAAAAAATAAACACGTTATGTATATAGTTATTTTTTTAAATTAATAATAAATTTTTCCTCAAGTAGGAGTCACATTGACATCAAAATCAAATTTCTCATCTCAAAAAATTCACAGACACCAATTTTCATCCAAATATTAAAGTTACATCAGAAATTATTTGGAAAAAATCAAAATAAAAATGAAAACTCTACATCCTATATGTCCGAAACTAAACATTTTAGGACATACATTACTAAGAACTTTTTTACTTATTTTTATTTGGCTAGCGTCAGGAAAAGTGGTAACTTAATTAAATTATACGAATAGTCTCGTTAATTATTGGTAATTAACCACGACATTGTGGTTTTGTTTATATTATCTGTATTCATATACACACACCGGAAATGTCTAGGGATATTACAATTTTATCCAGCCATCGTCAGTAATTTTATTATTTGCATTTCTGATATAATAAAATTAAAATAAACAAATAGTTTACAGGACGTATTGGAAATAAAAATGCGAAATTTACCGAATTTTTCAAATTTACCTTGATTTTTATTGAACTCAAAAAAATACACACATTTTTTTTATTCTAAACTGTGAATTAAAAAAAAAAAGATAAAACCATTTTTACTTAATAACTTAATAAAGATTAAGCCTTACTTAATCACTCCATGCTCCTGATCAGGTTGTCGATCTCTTCTTGAGGTACAGCCTGCCACGCTGCATTCACGGCCCGAACCAGATCCCTACGAGTTTCACGGGGCATACCCATTCTCAAAATTCTTCTTTGGACCGCGTCCCATACGTGCTCGATGGGGTTGAGATCAGGAGATTGTGCCGGCCAGGGTAAGATGTTTAATTGATGAGCATTGATAAACTCACTTACCACTCTGGCTGTGTGAGGCCGTGCATTGTCATGCATGAGAATGAAGTTCCTCCCAAAATCATTGGCATATGGTAACACGACAGACTCAAGAATTAAATCACGATATGTGATTCCTGTTAGAAACCTTTCAAGAAAAACGAGATCGGTTTTTCGGCCTAACTGGACTCCTCCCCAGACCATAACTGTTCCACCTTGATAAGGGTGCGCTTCCTGAACATGATCCAACCGAATAAGATTTCCCGGTTCTCTCCATACCCTAAGCCTTCTCGAATCCGGATGAATTCCAAAGCGTGACTCATCCGTGAAGAGAACATTGACCCATTGTTCATTCGACCACTGAACATGATCTCGGCGTTGAGTGAGTCGGCGTCGAGCATTTCATTGTAAAAAATGATCTTGCTGAGGGGTAGTAATGCGATGTCGCCCTGTGTGCCTTTCAGCAACATCACCACTTTCACGGTACTTAATCGCGTGTACTTAATCGCGATATTACACTTTGCGTTGTATTTAATGCTCTAGCTACGTCGATTTGGCGCATTCCAGCTTCGAGCATACCCATGGCCCTTAGCATTTCGTCTCTGTTAAGATGTCTACGCTCCATAATGTCGTTTAATACTAAACAGAGTTATTTGAATGAATTCTTGCCAGTTATCATAAAAACATAGCCAGTACAGGTTAAATTCGAACAATTGATGCTAGGTGCTTTTTATACATTTGACAAAAAATGCACAAATACTTCTGCAAATATCCCAAATTTACAAATAACTAGTGTGACTACTTCGTTTCAATCGAAGTAGAAAAAATCGGCCTACAAATATTTGTTCATTCAAAACATTTATTATATATATAAAATGATATCCCTAGATTTTTCCGGTGTGTGCATTTTCTTTTTCTGTAAATTAATAGAATTCAAGGTTCGAGTTTTGAACGCTGCAGACACACGCTCGGGTCGTCTCCCTGTTGCCATTTGCATCCGATGCGAACGATAATCGTAAATATGGACGGACAATGTCATAAATCGGACGCGAAACACGGCATTGCCGGGATTGCCTCTATTTTCCCTCCGCTCCCCCCTCTCGCGGCCTTTCTGCAGGAATACTGCAGCAACAGGTGTCAGGCGGACCCTGTTCAACCATAAATTCGCCCGATTTTTCTCACAACGGCGGAGAAAAATCACCCACCTTTTGCCGTATGAATATTGTCGGTCATAAAAGAAAAACTTCACGCTGTGTTAGTGTCTGCGCGCGTAATTCAAATCTGTATGAAAACAAACCCGATATATGTTTGTAGGTGCGTCTTTTATTAAAAATTAGTTTATACAGAGTGCATCTCTTACGCTTGTTAATTATTATGAGCGTTATAATATTTTTACAGGTATCTCTGATGACAACAGTGAGTAGAACCTGTTGTTGGTTTTAGTACTGCATCATTAAATTAGCAGTAAAATAAAAACAGGTAGTTTGCCATTGCCTTCCTTTAGGTGACGGCTCGATGGTCGTTCTATTTAGATAAATAAATATTTTTATTTATATAAAAATACTAGCGTGTACCAGCGACTTCGTTCGCGTCGAATTAATCATTTGTAATGGTGATGATAAAGCAAAGCAAGAATTTCCATTAACATACAAACTGGATAAAATTTTCTCACATTAATGTCAGCATGAGAAAAAACAATATGGCGATATTATTATATAACTTGGTAATATTTGAGGGGTAGTTTCATCTCGTTGGAATTTGACTTTCGAAAAATCCGTTTGCCAAAAATAAGCTTTTTACGTCAAGCAGTTTAAGCAGAATCGTGGTTAAGAAATTACCCAACTTTTTGGAACACCCTGTATGATTTTTTAAAAATTTTCAAAATATGTAAAAAAAAACAAATAAATTATGCTTGTCCAAGCGTTTTCCCGAAAGACTAACCGTTTTTTAAATAACAAATATTGTAATATTTGAGGGGCGTTTTCACCCTCTTGGAATTTGAGATTCGAGAAACCCCTTCTTATCGAACCTCTACACCCCACAGTCAATCCGTTTGGCAAAAATCTTAATTTTTCGCTTTAAACGTCAAGCAGTTTAAGCAGAATCGTGATTACTCAATGGTCATATTTTATGAAACACCCTGTATAATTTTATAAAAAATCTTAAAATATGTAAAACAACAAAATAAAATATACGTGTTTAAGAGTTTTTCCGAAAAACTCACCGGTTTTTAAATAAAAAATATTTCAATATTTGAGGGATAGTTTCACCCCCTTAGAATTCGAGTTTCGAAAAATCCCTTCTTATCGAACATCTACACCCTAAAGTCAATCTGTTTTCCAAAAATCAGCTTTTTACGTCAAGCGCTTTAAGCAGGATCGTGATTAATCGATGACCAGATTTTTTGAAACACCCTGTATATATTTTTAAAAAATCTTAAAATATGTAAAAAACAAAATAAAATATACGTGTTTAGCGTTTTTTCGGTAACTTGACCGTTTTTTAAATAAAAAATATTGTAATATTTGAGGGGTGGTTTCACCCTCTTCGGAACTGAAATTCCTAGAATCAACCTGTATGCCAAAATTGAGTTTTTTACGTTGAGTGATTTGAGCAGGATCGTCATTAATCAGTATGTCAGTCACTTAAGGATTTTATATATTAGTATAGATACTACAATACGGGCTGAGTATTGAACCCGGTACTCTTGAGTAGCAAGCAGACACACTTGCTCCTGAGTCACGGCCACCGCTAGTATCAATTTTAGTAGAAAAAATTCTGTATAAAGTACATTCTGAAGAGACCCCGTAGTTTTCATTATTATTAGTATTATTATCGTACTATTCCCATCTTTAAGGTTATATGTAAACTAGGCCTTTTCAGCTTGTAAATCTAAAGAAACCGTCTTCTTTTTGCATAACTCTGGAAGTTTACGAGCTACCGAACATCGGTCTGAGAATAATGTTTGCTCTCTAATGAGCCCGACGCTGCATCGAGATGAAATACCTCGCTTGCAGCATGCGATAACTCGAAAATTTATAGTAGTCAATCTCGTATTTTTTAGGCCCAACATTAATCACGCTTGTTAATGGCATATTTATACTTATTAGTTAATATATCTGCAATCACGCAAGCAGAATTAATTACTGTCCAGTACCGACATATTTTTTTTTTCTTTCAGATTTTCCATTTTTCGATTACGATTTCGATTTAGAACCTCTAACACGCAACTCCAGGCAAATTCAACCCTATGGCGCCCCCTATCAATGCCAAAAAGAAGGATTGTACCCGGATTCAAGAAATTGTAGCTTATTTTACAGGTACATATACATTATTGTGAACTAATATTGTTAAAGTAAACGTAAATGTAAATTTCTAGATGTGCATTAAATGGGTACAATCAGTTCGTAGCTTACACTTTCGAATGTGCCAATGGAACAGTTTTTGATCCAGCAATCTCTGTTTGTAATCATCCTTATGCCAGTAGCCGTGTTGAATGTGGAGGTAAAATAAATTAAATTTTATTTAATTACTATATTTCATTAGGATAAATCAGATAGTCAGACTACAGTTTCATCTGCCGTATACTCAAAAACAAGCAAAGATGACTAGCTGATAGTGAATATAAATACATAAACTTCATTTTCACCAGATTTTACTTAACGATGTTATTTATATTTAAGCCAATTTCGTGGGTAATTCAGTTCAAACCTTCAGTACGACTTACGAACCACCAGTGCGCAGTGAACAACCTTTTTACAGTACTCAAGCTCCAGCTCCGAATCGTTGTACCGCTTTGGGATTCAGACAAGATACAGTAAACTGTCGAAAGTTCTATCGCTGCGTTGATAATGGACAAAACGGATTTATCCAGTACGAATTTACTTGTGCTCCTGGTAAGTTCTATCAAATAAATTTCTCTTATAGTCTAATTAATTTATTTTAGGGACTGTTTGGGATCCATCCTCAACCTCTTGCAACTACCCCAGTGCGACCTCTAGATTGGATTGCACCGAAGAACGGGATGGTGGTCAGTTAATTCTTAGAGACGATGTTAACGTACTCGAAAGCACCTCGCACCAAAGCACATCTTTTTCAAATTCTTCTGCACTAAATAGTTCTAGTTCCTCTTCCAGTAGCGCTTCTAATTCTAGTTCCTTTTCAAGCTCATCCTCTAGTAGTAGTTCTAGTTATCAAAATTCTACATCATCGTCATCAAATCAAAATTCAGGTAAGGAAGTAAACGGCATAAGATTTCTGTCTTTATTTTACAAAAAAGGATGAGTAAGAGAGGTTTTTGTATATAGGTTGTGATTGTTCTTGCACGCATGACACAGTAAAGCATGTGAGTTATATGTTTGCTGGTATATAATAAATAATCAAGCACTTATGTAATAAAGCACAAATATTATATAGGAACTAGTTCAAATAACCAATCAAGCGGTAGCCAGAATCAATATGGTCAACAAGGTTCAAATAATAACCAGCAATCTTCAACTTCAAACCAACAAACTGGATCCAGTAGTTCCTCAAGTAATAACCAGCAATCGTCAGGTTCAAATCAGCAGTTTGGGTCTGGTAGCACTTCAGGCAGTAATCAAGGGTCATCAAGCTCAAATCAACAGGCTGGATCTAGTAGCTCTTTGAATAATAACCAGCAATCTTCAGGTTCTAACCAGCAATTTGGATCTGGTAGCACTTCAGGCAGTAATCAAGAGTCATCAAGCTCAAATCAACAGGCTGGATCTAGTAGCTCTTCGAATAATAACCAGCAATCTTCAGGTGCAAACCAGCAATTTGGATCTGGTAGCACTTCAGGCAGCAATCAAGAGTCATCAAGCTCAAATCAACAGGCTGGGTCTAGTAGCTCTTCTAATAATAACCAGCAATCTTCAGCTTCAAACCAGCAATTTGGATCTGGTAGCAGTTCAGGCAGTAATCAAGAGTCATCAAGCTCAAATCAACAGGCTGGATCTAGTAGCTCTTGGAATAATAACCAGCAATCTTCAGGTGCAAACCAGCAATTTGGATCTGGTAGCACATCAGGCAGCAATCAAGAATCATCAAGCTCAAATCAACAGGCTGGGTCTAGTAGCTCTTCTAATAATAACCAGCAATCTTCAGGTTCAAATCAGCAATTTGGATCTGGTGGCACTTCAGGCAATAATCAAGGGTCATCAAGCTCAAATCAACAGGCTGGATCTAGTAGCTCTTCTAATAATAACCAGCAATCGTCAGGTTCAAACCAGCAATTTGGATCTGGTAGCACTTCAGGTAGTAATCAGGAGTCATCAAGCTCAAATCAACAGTCTGGGTCTAGTAGCTCTTCAAATAATAACCAGCAATCTTCAACTTCAAACCAACAAACTGGATCCAGTAGTTCCTCAAGTAATAACCAGCAATCGTCAGGTTCAAATCAGCAATCTGGATCTGGTAGCACTTCAGGCAGTAATCAAGAGTCATCAAGCTCAAATCAACAGGCTGGATCTGGTAGCTCTTCGAATAATAACCAGCAATCGTCAGGTTCAAACCAGCAAACTGGATCTGGTAGCACTTCAGGCAGTAATCAAGAGTCATCAGGCTCAAATCAACAGGCTGGGTCTAGTAGCTCTTCAAATAATAACCAGCAATCTGGATCTAGTAGCAGTTCAAACAATAATCAACAGTCTACAAGCTCAAACGAACAATCTGGATCTTCAAGCTCATCAGGCAGCAATCAATCATCTGGTTCCTCTAATCAACAATTTGGATCTAGTAGTTCCTCAAGTGGCACTCAAAATACTTCTAATCAGCAACAGTCTACTAATAACGGATCGTCTGGAAGCTCATCTAGCTCGACTTCAAGTTCTAATCAGTCAGGTAACCAGTATGAGGCCAGACCGGGTCAAATTGTTAATGGTTTGTGTGCAAAAGAAGGATTTGTCGATGATCAGCAAGACTGCAAAAAATTTTATAGGTATATTTAAATCAATCATATTTAAAATAGTATTATTCTATATTTATATTACTTGTCTTATTTAGATGCGTTAGCGATTCACGAGGTGGTTTGATGAAGCACGAATTTACTTGCCCCGAAAATACAGTTTGGGACCAAAATTCTTTAGCTTGCAATCATCCCTATGCTGTTACAGGAAGATGTTATATAGGCCAACCGGGAGTATTACCACCCGGTAAGAAGAATTGTAATTCCCCAAAAATAATTTTAATTTTTCTAATTATTTTTTAAAAATAGGTAATCAAAACACTGGTAATCAAGAACAATCAGGTTCTAGTAATCAACAAGGATCAAGTCAAGGTCAAAATACATCAAACCAAACTAATCAAAATCAGCAATCAAATCAAAATCAATCCACAAATGAAAATCAAGGATCAAACCAGCAACAATCGAGTTCATCGCAAAATCAATCCAATAATGAAAATCAAAGTTCAAGCCAACAAACTGCATCTAGTCAAAATCAAAGTGGAACAAGTCAAAATCAAGTAGGCCAGATACCAACAACTGAAAAACCTGGGTTACTGGTTAATGACCAATGTGCAGCAGCCGGTTTTGTTGGGGACGAAGTAAACTGTAAGAAATTTTATAGATGTGTAGGCAATGGTCTAGGAGGATACATCAAACATGAATTTACTTGCGGAGAAGGAACTGTCTGGGATGAAAATATTCAAGCATGTAATTATCCCTATTCTGTACGTGGTAAATGTTACAATGCGCAACCTGGAATACCACAAAATGGACAAACCGGCAATCAAAACCCTAGTGGCCAATATTTACCTGCAGGTCAGCAGCCGAGTGGGCAACAACCTGGAAGCCAATATCAACCAGGAAGTGGACAGCCTGGTGGCCAAAATGTACCTGCAGGTCAGCAACCAAGTGGGCAACAACCTGGAAGCCAATATCAACCAGGAAGTGGACAGCCTAGTGGCCAATATGTACCTGCAGGTCAGCAACCAAGTGGGCAACAACCTGGAAGCCAATATCAACCAGGAAGTGGTCAGCCTGGTGGCCAATATGTACCTGCAGGCCAGCAACCAAGTGGGCAACAACCTGGAAGCCAATATCAACCAGGAAGTGGACAGCCTAGCGGCCAATATGTACCTGCAGGTCAGCAACCGAGTGGGCAACAACCTGGAAGCCAATATCAACCAGGAAGTGGACAGAATCAACAAGGATCGAGCCAAGGTCACAATACATCAAACCAAACTAGTCAAAGTCAGCAATCAAATCAAAATCAATCCACAAATGAAAATCAGGGATCAAACCAGCAACAATCGAGTTCATCGCAAAATCAATCCAGTATTCAAAATCAAAGTTCAAGTCAACAAACTGAATCTAGTCAAAATCAAAGTGGAACAAGTCAAAACCAAGTTGGCCAGATACCAACAACTGAAAAACCTGGGTTATTGGTCAATGATCAATGTGCAGCAGCCGGTTTTGTTGGGGACGAAGTAAACTGTAAGAAATTTTATAGATGTGTAGAAAATGGTCTAGGAGGATACATCAAACATGAATTTACTTGCGGAGAAGGAACTGTCTGGGATGAAAATATTCAAGCATGTAACTATCCCTATTCTGTAAATGGTACATGTTACAATGCTCAATCTGGAATACCACAAAATGGACAATCAGGCAATCAAAACCCTAGTGGCCAATATTTACCTGCAGGTCAGCAACCAAGTGGGCAACAACCTGGAAGCCAATATCAACCAGGAAGTGGTCAGCCTGGTGGCCAAAATGTACCTGCAGGTCAGCAACCAAGTGGGCAACAACCTGGAAGCCAATATCAACCAGGAAGTGGTCAACCTGGTGGCCAAAATGTACCTGCAGGTCAGCAACCAAGTGGGCAACAACCTGGAAGCCAATATCAACCAGGAAGTGGTCAGCCTGGCAGCCAAAATGTACCTGCAGGTCAGCAACCAAGTGGGCAACAACCTGGAAGCCAATACCAGCCAGGAAGTGGACAGCCTAGTGGCCAATACGTACCTACTGGTCAGCAACCGAGTGGGCAACAACCTGGAAGCCAATACCAACCAGGAAGTGGACAGCCTAGTGGCCAATATCTACCTGCAGGTCAGCAACCGAGTGGGCAACAACCTGGAAGCCAATATCAACCAGGAAGTGGACAGCCTGGTGGCCAAAATGTACCTGCAGGTCAGCAACCAAGTGGGCAACAATCTGGAAGCCAATATCAACCAGGAAGTGGTCAGCCTGGTGGCCAAAATGTACCTGCAGGCCAGCAACCAAGTGGGCAACAACCTGGAAGCCAATATCAACCAGAAAGTGGACAACCTAGTGGCCAATATGTTCCTGCAGGTCAGCAACCGAGTGGGCAACAACCTGGAAGCCAATATCAACCAGGAAGTGGACAGCCTAGTGGCCAATATCTACCTGCAGGTCAGCAACCGAGTGGGCAACAACCTGGAAGCCAATATCAACCAGGAAGTGGACAGCCTGGTGGCCAAAATGTACCTGCAGGTCAGCAACCAAGTGGGCAACAACCTGGAAGCCAATATCAACCAGGAAGTGGTCAGCCTGGTGGCCAAAATGTACCTGCAGGTCAGCAACCAAGTGGGCAACAACCTGGAAGCCAATATCAACCAGGAAGTGGACAGCCTAGTGGCCAATACGTACCTACAGGTCAGCAACCGAGTGGGCAACAACCTGGAAGCCAATACCAACCAGGAAGTGGACAGCCTGCTGGCCAAAATGTACCTGCAGGTCAGCAGCCGAGTGGGCAACAACCTGGAAGCCAAAACCAACCAGGAAGTGGACAGCCTAGTGGCCAATATCTACCTGCAGGTCAGCAACCAAGTGGGCAACAACCTGGAAGCCAATATCAACCAGGAAGTGGACAACCTAGTGGCCAATATGTTCCTGCAGGTCAGCAGCCGAGTGGGCAACAACCTGGAAGCCAATACCAACCAGGAAGTGGACAGCCTAGTGGCCAATACGTACCTACAGGTCAGCAACCGAGTGGGCAACAATCTGGAAGCCAATACCAACCAGGAAATGGTCAGCCTGATGGCCAAAATGTACCTGCAGGTCAGCAGCCAAGTGGGCAACAACCTGGAAGCCAATATCAACCAGGAAGTGGTCAGCCTGGTGGTCAAAATGTACCTTCAGGTCAGCAACCGAGTGGACAACAACCTGGAAGCCAATACCAACCAGGAAGTGGACAGTCTAGTGGCCAATACGTACCTGAAGGTCAGGTACCCGGTGGGCAACAACCTGGAAGCCAATATCAACCAGGAAGTGGACAGCCTAGTGGCCAATATCTACCTGCAGGTCAGCAACCGAGTGGGCAACGACCTGGAAGCCAATATCAACCAGACGGTTCAGGTAAGTCAATTACTTATTAACTTACTTAAAGTTGGGACTTTAATAAAACATTTCTAGGCTATAATCCACCTTGTAATAATCAAACTATCGACAACAACTACACAGTACCTGGACAAATAGTTCAAAATAATTGCGTCAGTGAAGGCTTCGTCGGGCACGAAACAGATTGCAATAAATTCTTCAGATGTGTTGGAAACGGACAAACAGGCTTCACAAAATACGAGTATAATTGTGCTCAGGGAACCGTTTGGGATCAGAGTAGTTTCTCTTGTAATTATCCATATGCAGTTAGTGGAAAATGCTACCAAGCATCGTCAGGTGAAGTCAAACATTTCGCAAAAACCATCAAGATTATAGCAATTTTTTTTTGATATAGTTCCAAGCTACCCAAGCACAGGAGCTAACCAGCCAGGACAAGGAACATCTCAATATCCAACTTCCCCAAGCAATCAACCAGCACCTGGGTTATCATCAAGTAATACTCCTTCAGGATCTTATGGTTGCACTCAAGATGGTTTTATAGGAGATGCCCAGAACTGTTCTAAATTTTATAGGTGCGTAGGAAGCCATCTTGGTGGTTACACGAAGCACGAATTCTCGTGTGGTTCTGGAACTGTTTGGGACCAACAGAGATTGACTTGTAACTACCCATGGGCTGTCCAAGGGCAGTGTTACTCAGCGACTCCTTCAGAGGTAATATAATGTTTCTTAGGTGGATTTTTAATTAAATATTGATATATTTTTTTTAAATCTAGGTATCTCCTGGAAGCGACAACGAATCTACTACTCTTTCTAACGGACTACAGAGTTCTTTGCCTTCAAATACCGAAATAGTTCAATCAACTACACCAGGTATAATATTGAATTAATATAATAAAAATTATTAATCCTTAAATTTAATATGATTCTATATTTTTTATGCGTATGTATTTCTATGTATGGTTTTATATATTTCAGAAAAAAGCATATAGTTCTTACAGGTATAAATCCACACTAAACTGTATAACACACAACTTATACTTTTCATCACAACAGTGCTAAAATCTGTGTTTGTGTATTTTTTTTAATTATTAACACTTAATTATTAACTTATTTAAAGTCAAACATTTCAGTTCATAATTCTTTTAGAGATTAGAGAAAGTTTTTATAATCTCCGGAATCACTAAAATGTTTTGCTTTATCCAGAAAGCATCCTTTATTTTATATAATTTAAAATTCATAGTTAAGCAATTCAATTCTGTATAGGTATTACAAGCGAAACGACATCAACACTAACTGAAATTTCTAGTCACGAAACTACAACACTTCCTAGTGAAACAACTACACTAGACTACACACATTCCACACAAACCACAGTAGATATAGATGCTTCTACCACACCTATATATGACAGTAGTACGTCTACTAACACTATTACAACCGAAGGTAACAAAAAATTCTACATTTTAAATATATCTAGTATTGGAGAATCAATACAATAATTATTTTTATAATCGTCTTCTACAGATATTAATGATGTCGAAGGAAATACTACTTATTTCTCCACCGAAACACCATCCACACTTTTTACACAAACTTTTGAAACTTCAACTTTAACAGGAAGTACTGATTCGGAGAGTACAACATTTGATAGTTTTACTACTGAAGGTAACCAACGCAACGTTGAAATTTTAAAGGACCTTTACTATTTTGAAGCTAAACTCAATTAATATAGTTTTCTGCAGATGTTAATCATAACACCCAGAGTACAACTGAAACACTATATACTCATTACACTACTGAAATATTTAGTGAAACTACTACACCATACACTCAGAGCACAGTTGATTTTGACACTTCAACAACTCCTAATTTGCAAAGTACTACATTTGAAAGCGAATCCTCGACAGAAGGTAATGAAGTTTTGTGATGAATAAGATTCATCTTATTTCAAATGCAAGTATTCTGAAATTTTAAACGTTTATATTCTGTAGGTAGTACCTATAGTGAGAGCAGTACTACAGAAACGAGCATAACTGATTACACTACAGATATTTCTGGTCAGACAACCATATTTGATAATACGCAATATACTGAAAGTAGTACACATTTGGAAAGTTCAACTACACCTTTAGGGGAAAGTACCACTTTTGAGAGTAGTACTACACAAGGTAATTCAGTTTTTATCCGCACAAAATTGGTATCACCATCTTTTTTTGTCATGGAATTTGCACGCATCATCTTATAAGCACCTTAAATCTAAGATATTATATTTAAAATTAAAATTTCTATAGATGGTACTTTTGGAGAAATGACACCAACAACTGAAACCTTTTCCGAATTAACCACTAATGACATTTCGCAAACACCTACATCAAGTTCTGAAACTACCTTTAGTACTGATGGTACTGATACAACAATAGGTAACATGAACATGTCGTGACAAGTGTCTATTGACTTAACATTTTGTGGCTAACATGGCATGTGTTGCATGTAATACCTGCACACGAACATTGAAAATTCATTTTTTATGTTTTTACTAATAATAATAAACTCAAAAGTTATACTATAAGCCATATCACTCACTTAAATTATCAGATTTGTGTTTTCATTACTACTTTCATTCAAACTTACGTTAATCAAACTATTTTATTTAGATTCGGCTAGTACTCAAGAAACTACAACATCAAATTACCAAATTAGTACTACGTTTATCTCACAAAGCACTACAACAGAGTTAGATAATACTGATCAAACTACTACGCAAAAGAGTACTGTAGATTCTGAAAATACTAACACATATGCGTCTTCAGAACAACCAGAATATATTACCACGCCAGGAGGTAAAATATATCAGTAAAAATCAGCATGTCTATTATCACTGATCATTGCCATTTTTTTTGAACCAACTGCACACTTTTGTCAATCAGTTCATATTTATAACAAAAATTTTGGTTTTTGGTTTTGTATTACGAGTTTTTGATTAATTTGAAAGTGAATCCTCGACAGAAGGTAATGAAGTTTTGTGATGAATAAGATTCATCTTATTTCAAATGCAAGTATTACTGAAATTTTAAACGTTTATATTCTGTAGGTAGTACCTATAGTGAGAGCAGTACTACAGAAACGAGCATAACTGATTACACTACAGATATTTCTGGTCAGACAACCATATTTGATAATACGCAATATACTGAAAGTAGTACAAATTTGGAAAGTTCAACTACACCTTTAGGGGAAAGTACCACTTTTGAGAGTAGTACTACACAAGGTAATTCAGTTTTTATCCGCACAAAATTGGTATCACACCATCTTTTTTTGTCATGGAATTTGCACGCATCATCTATAAGCACCTTAAATCTAAAATATTATATTTAAAATTAAAATTTCTATAGATAGTACTTTTGGAGAAATCACACCAACAACTGAAACTTTTTCCGAGTTAACCACTAATGATATTTCGCAAACACCTACATCAACTTTTGAAACTACCTTTAGTACGGATGGTACTGATACAACAATAGGTAACATGAACATGTCGTGACAAGTGTCTATTGACTTAACATTTTGTGGCTAACATGGCATGTGTTGCATGTAATACCTGCACACGAACATTGAAAATTCATTTTTTATGTTTTTACTAATAATAATAAACTCAAAAATTATACTATAAGCCATATCACTCACTTAAATTATCAGATTTATGTTTTCATTACTACTTACATTCAAACTTACGTTAATCAAACTATTTTATTTAGATTCGGCTAGTACTCAAGAAACTACAACATCAAATTACCAAATTAGTACTACGCTTATCTCACAAAGCACTACAACAGAGTTAGATAATACTGATCAAACTACTACTCAAAAGAGTACTGTAGATTCTGAAAATACTAACACATATGCGTCTTCAGAACAACCAGAATATAGTACCACGCCAGGAGGTAAAATATATCAGTAAAATTCAGCATGTCTATTATCACTGATCATTACCATTTTTCTTCGAACCAACTGCACACTTTTTTCTATCAGTTCATATTTATAACAAATATTATTAAGGTGATATTTCGTTTCTGCAGATTTTATTTTAAGTGAAACTACAGAAGGTACTACATTTGAATATCAAACAGAATCAACATACTTTACTACCTTCAAGCAAGACAATAATAGTTTATATAGTACTACTCCAACTCAAGGTAACATATCCTAAGTTTGCGCAACGAAAATAGTTACTTATGAGAAAACTATAATAGTATTAATTATATTTATACAGATCTTACATCAAATACAGATACAACATATCCTGGAACATCTACTGAACAAATTACACAACATTATACTGAATTTTCAACAATTTACTCTACTGATCGTACTACAAATATAAATGATACGTCTAATGAAAGTAGTACAATGCAAGAAGGTACAACGTTTCTGTATTATACCACTGGATCTAATATTTCTGAATCTACTAACATATTCGAAACAACTCCTATGAGTACATCTTTTACCACTGAGAACAGCTACACTACTTTTACACCAGAAATAACTACATTTGGTAGTAGTACTACCGTACCAGGTAATGTGTTTCCTTATTAAAAATTGTATAGATAAAAATTACACAAATACCCTTTAAATTTACACCAAATTTACTACTTACCTCAACTCTAGATGCACGTTTTGCTAAATATATTCGATATCAATTAAACTTTTAGTTATATAATCGAGGGCGCGATTTTTAAATTCATTGCTGATATTGCTACGGACATATTCGGCGCCTTGCTGACTGACTGAAATTTAAATTTCGCGCTGGGGATTCAGGTGGTAGTTCTGCTGTAAAAAACGTCAAGTTGCCGCATTTATTTATTTATTTCCTGACATTGCCATTCGTCTTGTCACTTAAGGTACATGCATTGAACTCGAACCCCGACGCTCAGCGGACGCTAGCGCAACGCCAAACGCGATGCTGTCTGCCTGAACGGTCTAATTTAAGTTAAGTGAATTGATTCCATTTCGACACGCGGACGCGACGCACACGCGACGCGACGCTCGACGCTCTCAGTCTGAACGTACCTTTACTTTTGTATTACATTAAGATTAAAAATGTTTACTAGCAGACCTTGCAGTCGAACATTGTTCTTTTTAGAACCTTTTTTAGTGCAAAGTGTACATGATAACTTAAAATAATAATAATAGCCGTAAAAAACTGATCGCAGCTTTATTAGAATATTTTGAACGGGAAAGCGTTGTGTCCTTTAAGTGCTGTTAAGAAAGTGAGCTTTGTTGATGTAAATAATAACTGTTTATATATTTATAATTAATTTATTTTTCTTTTCTAAACTATTTTGATTCAAAGAAAATATACAAAAGTGGACAACGCTGTGCCGGTCAAGCTTAATCACGTGACTAAAAGTTTGTTTGGTATGAACTTGTATGTTGGCATCATCAGCAGATGAATGAAATTTGTAAGTTTTGTTTTGATAAAAAATAATAATAATTACGTTTATTAAACATTTTTTCTTGAAATTAAGATAGATACAAAATAGTACAGTATCCAATGCCGTATGATCAAATCCAAGTACCGTATGATCGAATAAAAACGGCGTCAGCGATGGCTATAAAATGAAGATCGCTGTCATTTTATATGTAAATTTATATGGGAAATGTTATTGATCGTCATTTCCAAGCCAACTGGATGCCGTTTTTATTCGATCATACGGTACAATTTAACTAAAGCTAAATTTAAATTTTAAGAATCGAAATAAACGTTAAAAGAATTGCTACAAAGTAATAGAATTACTTGTATGTGGAAAGGAATACAATTTAATTATTACAATATATAATGTTCACTGGCACTTATGAAAATTTATTTTGTATATTTTAAGTTAACTAGGTCATTAAATATATCTCTACCTCGATCAACCATCCATTTGCATACCCCTTTTTTAAACCCAGAGTAATTTTTAACTTCCTTTAGGAAGGTTGCTGAGACGTTATATAATCGAGGTGCAAAAATTTTTGAAGATCTTATACTAGCGTATACATATCTACTTATACGCCTTATGTCTAGTTTCATATTCATGGTCAGCATATTCAATAGATATTTTCCCCTGATAAATGAATTTTATAACATCTAGGCAGTATAGCTGACGTATATCCATTAGATGCGCCTGCTTAAAGAGAACGTTTGAAGAGAAAGTTTTCTTTTTATTGTAAATAATTTTTATGGACCATTTTTGAACAGAATACAAGCTTTTTAAATGACATTCAGCCGCACCACCCCACCCTAGAATTGCATATGTCAAATGAGATTGTACAAGGGATGAGTACAGGATTTTAAGCTGTTTGACGTCCAAATAACTTTTCAAATAATTAAATTTCGGCAACAATCCTCGCAATTTTTTAGTTACATTATTAATATGAATATTCCATTTAAGATGTTTGTCGATTGTAACCCCTAAATATTTTATAAAATCACATTCCGGTATTACGTTATTATTGGTTATTTGTAATCTGTCCCAATCTGGTTCATTATTTTTATAAATAGAGAAGGATATAAATTTGGTTTTGTCGAAGTTTAATGTTAATTTGTTATTTGTTTGACAAACCAGGTATTAATTGTCTGAAAGTGTTCCTCTGTTAATCTTTTCAAATTCGACCAAGAGTTAGATTTATAAAATATCGCTGTATCATCTGCGTAGCTAAAAATTTCTGCTTTTGTTTAGTTTGACCCAACACAGTGCCTTTTGGTACACCATACTCAATCCTTCCTGGCTTGCTATTAATATCTCCCAAATTAACATATTGTGATCTGTTCATAAGGTAACTTTTTAAAATACTAAGGCTGTTTCCTCGTATTCCATATCTCTCTAATTTGTCTATAGTAAAAGCCACGAATGTTTGGGAGTAATTCATCGGTCGCTACCATGTGAACTAATCTGTTCAAGGTCACATAAAACTTAATTCCATTGCCGTGGTGTTTCAAGTCATATAATAATCAATATATAATCTGTTGTAATTTGTTGTTTTAACTGTCAAAACATATATTTGGTTATAAATATAAACAGGAATGCCCCATTGGTCGCACTGCAAGCACACCAATGGATTGACGCATAAAAACGAATCAATCAAAGAAACGCGATATAGTATTGTCTTTGTCATTCACGCCAACATTTTAGAATAAGTAGGAGGAGCGCAGGCAGATGATTAGACCGATTTACCGTATCAAATGCTTTAGCGAGATCTACGAATATACAGTGGATTCGATGTCTCGAGTCTAGAGCATCATAGATTGATGATGTCAATGCATGAACGGCATCCTGTGTTGATTTGCCTTCTGAAAAACCAAATTGATTTTTTGATATTATGTTAAATTTTAGAAAGAATTTTAACAAACGTTTTTTTATAACTGTTTCGAAAATTTTAGAAAAAACTGATTAAGTACAATAAGTTTTACTTATTTGCTTGACGATGCTAACATGGTTAGTAAAATGTGTACTCTGTGTTAGAGTTATGTTAATTCTCTGTTCTAGCACTATTTTTTTTACTTAAATTACACACCTTAAATACTTTTAAATTATATTTATACAGATCATACCGATATGACCACTAATGAATACACTACACAACACTACACTGAATTTTCCACAAATAATCCTACGGAAAGTACTGTAAATACGGACACCATGTCTCCATTTGAATCTGAAAACAGTACTACTGAATTTTTACCTGTTACTAGCACTGACTCGTCGGATGAAAGTACTGCTTCTGAAGCAGGTAAACTGTGAAACAAAAGAATTGTGACTACCACAAAATACCATTCTTGGTATTCCATCATGAAGAACATTTACTAACTCATTTTGTTTCATGTTGGGGCATATTTTCAGATAAATGGTTGTAGTTAAAAGCCTACGCATTTTACTGATAAATGTATTGTTTTTCAGGTAGTGGCACTGAAAGGGAACCATGTCCAATAGGACAATTGGAAGGGGACCAGGTGGCATTGATTTGTCCTACAGGCTTCAGAAGGCATCCTAAATACTGTAATCTGTTCTATCAATGCACTTCTGGTAGTAACGCTCACGATTATAAGGTCTTAGTTTTGAGTTGTCCTGAAGGTACCGTTTTCTTTTTAATTAAATTTCTTAACTTTGTGTTGTTTAATGATATCTTTTAGGAACGATATATGACGACAAGTTGATTCAGTGTCTTCCAACGAACGAAACTAACCAAACTTGTACAGGACAGATTGCTTCTACCAGTTTGTACAGAAAGTTGGATATAAACTCGATTCCGCCAGTAATATACTACACTCACCGACAAAAAAAAACGGACACTAAAAACTAGTCCCAATTTCAAAGTTGGTTTTCTCGCGAACCACTCATTAGATTTTGATGATTTTTTTTAAATTGTAAATTAATTCCTTCTTAACGGATGCTTCGTCAGAAATTTTTATTCCCAATTTATTTTGAGCATATACAGGGCACAACAATGAGACGAAGTTTTTTGCCCGAACTTTGTATCACCCTGTAGGGTGCAGCAGCTGTAGTAGTTATTGCTAAATCAAATCACATTGTAGCCTCATCTTTTGTGAGCATTTTGTTTTTTTAATCACGACATTATCTCTGTTTGTATTGGAACTACGCTGCTTTATAACAACCGCCTCCAAAAAAGATTTAGTCCATTACTCAATATCTCAATTCACATGTAAACGCACAAACTGAAGACGTGCTCGACAATGCCTTGGAAGTAGTTGAGGTCCTGTGGCAGGCCTCCTTGCAGACAAGCTGTTTTCTTTGAGTCTTCTTCGGATTGTTCTCTCACTGACTTGAGTTCTACGCACGGCTTGTAGCAGATGTTGATTCTGAAACGCTGTAATTCTACGATTTCGTAAAGTATTCAGAATAATAAAGCGGTCGTCAATTGCATTTGTCTTCCGTTTTCTTCCAAGAACCCACTTGGTGAAATTTCCCGTTTCCATATACCGATTCCAGGCATCCTGGACTGTTGTTCGAGGTATACCCAGGGTATCGTACATATAACCACAGAATATCTAGCTACGCAACAGAAAAATACTCGAAATGAAAGAGCTAAAATTGCACAAATAGAATACTAGATGGCGCGACAATATCATAATCAGAATATAATTGGAAATGTTCAACTTTCGGTTTTGGATCGATGTAGATCGACAGCACGTCGACGGCCTTCAAGCTCGGCAAAATATGCACAGTTGCCAGATTCAAACGGACTTTAATTGGCATCCCATTCTTTTTCTGGTGTATAATAATTTCTTTCTATTCTTCGTTTCTTGTCAGATACACTTATATTAATTATTCGTTTGGCTTTTAAAATTAGAATAAATTAATAAAAATAAAAAAATAAATTAGAAAACATATGCTCTCAAAATACATTTTTAATATACACTACTTTATTATGTTAACTAAGCAAATAACTTTAATTACTTTTAAAATTAATAATATACAGGGCGATTGATCGTGATATATATTAATGCTGAAACGTTAGTAATGAAATATACGTTTAATAATAATGGAAATGATTTATTAAAATGCAGTACAAAAAATGTTAATTGACTAAAAAAATACTATAATAACAATTTTTTTCTGTTTGTCATGTTATTTATATAGCCCTAGGTAGATTTTAAAAAGTGACACAGGTACAATTAATAATATATTAGTTCGGCATAAAAGTTGCTGTCACGACATCGTACAATAAATTAAAATTCGTAAAATAAATTAAAGTTATTAATTAAACAAATCTTTATAAAGAAACACAAGTATATCAAATTTGGGCCCAATCAAACGCCAGGAAATGGTATCGTAATATGGTACTACATTATGGTACCCCTTGATATGCTTCATGGTACCATAATATTGCAATGTCATCAAAAATACGCAAGTATAATCAAATATGAGCTCAATCGAAAGACAGGAAATGGTATCGTAATATGGTACTACATTATGGTACCCCTTGATATGCTTCATGGTATCATAATATTGTAATATCATCAAAAATACGCAAGTATAGTCAAATATGAGCCCAATCGAACGTCAGGAAGTGGTATCGTAATATGGTACTATATTAAGGTACCACTTTATATGCATCATAGTACCATCATATTAAAATGTCACTGAAGATACTTACTATACCAAGTATAAGTCCAATCGCACGCCAGGAAATGGTATCGTATATGGTACTATTATGGTACCTCTTGATATGCTTCATGGTACCATAATATTACAATGTCACTGAAAATACGTAATATAAATATACCAAGTTTAAGCCCAATCGAACGCCATGTATCGTAATATGATACTATATTACGGTATCACTTGATATGCTTCATGGTACCATAATATTGCAATGTCATGAAAAATACGCAAGTATATATCAAATACCGTATGATACCGAAAAAACGGCGTCCAGTTGGCTGGGAAAAGACGATCGATGACATTTCCCATATAAATTTACACATAAAATGACAGCGATTTTCATTTCATAGCCATCGCTAACGCCGTTTTTTCCCGATCATACGGTATGAACACAATCGAACGTCAGGAAGTGGTGTCATAATAGTAGTAAGATGTAGCAAATTTGAACGTAGGTTTTATCAGGAAGTATTACAATATAAATTACACAATGGCAACACTGCATAAAATTCTTTTAAATTTCGTTTGTAGAAAACTGTTTTCTTTTAAATTTATCGCCCTCTGTTATGTAGTAGTGAAACTACCGCATCAAAATATCTGATTTGGAGACAGGCTTTAAAAGCCTGTCTCCTTTTGAGACCTACGATTTTTTACATGTAACGAGGCTTCTGTTGCGTAGCTAGATATTCTGTGATTTAACGTTTAACTTCGGCCATCCTTAATTAAAGCCACAACAAAGAATATACCTAGCTAGAAAAAGAATGGACTCTGCCATACTGAAAAATGGTCCTACAGAAGTGGCGCCATCTATTGAGTATGGCTTGTTTTAAATGGATCGAAGCGCGGGCTTTTTAAATGAGCGTATTTATTGAATTTTACTCTAAAATAATTAAATTTGATTATTAAATCTTATTTTTTACACAAATTCAACAATACTAATAACAAGTATCGTTGTTATGTGTAAAAAATAAGATTTAACAGTATAATTTATACAATTATTAAATAAAATTAAAGCCAAACATGTGAAATATTATTTATTATTTAAAGTTTTTATTTATAAGTCAAATATTTAAACATCATTTATTATAATAAAACAAGACCAACGTAATACGCCCAAAGTTTTGTAAATAGAGTAAATATAAATAGGTACTTAAATGATGGCAAAAATAAAAGACTTACATTATATTTTTAGGACCACAAACAAAAGGAATTGTCTAATTAAAACACATACACAACACATATAACAAATTATAGTTTGAAAAACGTTTTGATAATCATTTATCACAAAACATCCCCCTTTAGAACTTGGTCTATCATGTTAAGAAATGAAAGTAAATAATAAAGCGCCTCTCGTGTTTGTTCGCACTCAAAAAATTTCAATTAATGCCTGTATATATTTTTAATATATTTTTTAAATTTACATTTTTTTATTTGTAAAGTAATATATTACATTTAAATGGAACATATTACATAACAATTATGTCAATTATAGGATTACAGGAAAAAAATAAATTTTTTATATTATAAAATTTCATTTTATGTATATTTGTCTTAGGTATGAAAAAAGTAAAATATAAAAGGGACAAACGCTTACTTACATTGCAATAAAACTTCCACTTTTAGTTTTTCAATCCAAACGCAATATTTCTATTTCACAAATAAAAATATCCGACAACACTAAAATCACTGAAACTTCCGCAGCTGACAACGAAAACTGAAAAATATAACGGCACTTTTTGTTTTAGACCTGCATATCAACATTACGCTGTACTATTTTGTGTTTGTTGTTGAAATAATATAAAATATCTAATTATAACTTGTAAATTTTAATATTTTAACATGATTTTAACTACTTTTGACAATAACTAACTTTTTATCAAGATGACATTTTAGACGGCAACTGACATATATGTCATAATATTTGAATCTTAAATATGTATGTAATATAATTTAAATTACTATAATGCAACTTTATACTAAGAAAACATTTATACATTCACAAAATACAACAAAATCTAATAATATAGTTTGAAAACAATGAATATTGAATTAAAATTGAAAAAGTTAAGCGCGACCTCTTGTGTCAAAATTAGATGATTAAATTTTCGCAATTTTTACACCATTTGATGACCGGTGGCGCCTCTAGTGTTTGTTCGGGCGGTTGGTCTTTTACTCCCGCTTATGGCCATTAAAGAAAAAGTTTTAAAGGGGGATGTTTTGTGTCATTTATTTGATAATATTATGATTGGCGTTATGACAACGACAATATTTTTTGAGAATTTGACAATAATATGACAATGGCCGTTGGAAACTATGGAAACTAAAAAAAAAATTCTGATTTAACGCCATCTGCCAATAACTAGTAGCAACTTCTTAACCTAAAAATTAATTGCACTACCACCTAGTGGCTAGAGCTGGAACTATTTTATTTGAGATTTCCGTGGAAACGGTGGAACCGCTTTTTCTATTTCACTTTCCCGCCCCTGAGCCACAATACGAGCAACATCCGTCACAGATAATGGCATTTTTGAATTTGACAACCGTCGTTGTCATATTGCAAATATTCATAAATCCCTTTTCGTCTATGATGCCTTGATTATTTACACATAAAACTCCGAGATGTTCGTTTTAAAGCAGCATATCTCCAATAAAAACAGAGATAATGTCGTGATTAAAAAAAAAAATGCTCACAAAATATGAGGCTACAATGTGATTTGATTTAGCAATAGCTACTACAGCTGCTACACCCTACAGGGTGTTACAAAGTTCGGGCAAAAAACTTTGTCTTATTGTTGTGCCCTGTACATGCTCAAAATAAATTCGGAATAGAAATTTCTGACGTAGCATCCGTTAAGAAGGAGTTAATTTACAATTTTAAAAAAAAATCATCAAAATCTAATAAGTGGTTCGCGAGAAATCCAACTTTGAAATTGGGACTAGTTTTTAGTGGCCGGTTTTTTTTGCCGGTGAGTTTATTATTTGATTGTATCCTAAAAATAACTGTTTTTAGGTTTTAGTGCCATCAGTCCAAACTCTGTGTCCTAGAGAAGGACTTCATGAGTTAGAGTCCACAGACTGTTCAAGACAGTTTGTTAAATGTCGCAGAAATGCTAGAGGATTGGAAGGTTTCATGTACCAATGTCCTCAAGATTTTGCTTATTGGCAAATCACTAGGTATTTAAATGTTACTTATACAGGGTGATTCAGATTTTACTAGAATAACTTCAGGTATCGATAGAACCAACCGAAATAATGATAGTTTGTATTATAAACCATACTCCAAAAACGCTTCCGCTTGGAGTAAAATGGCGCTAAAATTTGAATTATATTTCCGTTTTTATTTTATTACTCGTAAGCCAGAGGATCTAAATACGCAAGTGTTTGGTTAAATGCTAAGGGCAACGTGGCTGATATGTGTGAAAAAAATTGGATTAATTGCTATACATGGTGTTGCTTTTGTGAGTATTAACTGCACGGAACCCTGTCGAACTTTTTTGTCGCACGCCACTGGATAAATTTGTATTTTTTTCTGATACCTTCCGTCTTTTTACTAACTTTTCTTGTTCTTAATTTTTTTTGATATGTTGCTTAGTTTTCGAGATATTCCATAAAATTCCGGACATAGCTCAGTTACGTTCCAAAAATGTTACATAATTAGCAGCATGCCTTGGAGAACAAAACACATCCTAGCGTAAACTGTCTCAAGTCAAAATAAATTTCATTGTTGTTTGTGACTTTAGTTGTGAAGTTTATTGTGCAAAAAGATGCCCAGAACTTTTACAAATGCCGTTGAAGAATACCGTCTACGGTTTCCGAACAGAAGAGTTCCGCACTCCCACACTTTTGTAGAAGTACATCGTCGTTTTCATGAACATGGATTTGGCGTTCCTAATAACCAAAATCGCATTGGTCGTCAAAGAGATAACAACAGAATTCTTCAAGTCTTCGACATTAATAGAAAAATGAGTACACGCCAAGCAGCCCGACAACTCGGTGTATGCCAATCTAAGGTTTTTACAGCTCTTAAGTAAGATCACCAAAAAGCCTTCCATTTACAGCCTGTCCAAGGCTTTGTACCTGAAGATGCTGAAAACGACTTACATTTTGTAGATGGATTTTGGAGTCTGTCGAAATAAATCCACATTTTCTGCACAAAGTCTTGTGGACAGATGAGTCTAATTTCACGAGAGCTGGAGTCGTGAACTATCATAATCTCCGCGTATGGGATCACGAAAATCCTAGATCTATTAGGCAATCTTCATTTCAGCACGAGTTCAGTGCAAATGTGTGGATTGGCGTTATAAGTAATAATCTGTGTGGGCCACATTTTCTCCCTCCTCGCTTAAATGCCAATTTGTTCCATGGTTTTCTGGAAAACTTTCTTCCTGAAGTTCTTGAAGACGTTCCATTAAATTTACGTGAAGAAAATTGGATGCAATTAGACGATGCTCCTGCACACTCTGGACGGCAAGTGCGACAGTGGCTGGACGAAAATTATCCTCACCGATGGATAGGACGTCTACGCGACAACCGTCAGAATTTAATTCCCGGTGAGGGGCCACTGGCTTGGCCTGCACGTTCACCGGACCTAAATCCCCTCGATTATTATGTTTGGGGTCATGTTAAAGATATCGTTTATGCAACACCAATAAATACCCGCAATGAATTAATTGAAAGAATACAGAATTAAAATACAAAATTACAGTTGGAGCAGCGGTTAATACATTGATTCGTCGGTGCAATAAATGTATTGAGGCTGGAGGAATGCATTTCGAGCACTTATTGTAAGTTTGTTGTTGTGGTTTAAAAAATGTATTTTTATTGTTAAATGTTCGTCGTTCTTGTCATTAAAAACATGTCAATTTTCAGTGTCATTTTGTTTTGAACCTTTTCCATGATAGTCTTACTATATCTGGAATTTTGTGGAATATCTCGAAAACTAAGCGACATATCAAAAAAATTTAGGAACAAGAAAAGTTAGTAAAAAGACGCAAGGTATCAGAAAAAAATACAAATTTATTCAGTGGCGTGCGACAAAAAAGTTCTACAAGGTTCCTTGTAGTTGACACTCATAAAAACAACACCCTGTATAGCAATTAATCCAATTTTTTTCACACATATCAGCCCCGTTGCCCTTAGCATTTAACCAAACACTTGCGTATTTAGATCCTCTGTCTTACGAGTAATAAAATAAAAACCGAAAAATAATTCAAATTTTAGCGCCATTTTACTCCCAGCGGAAGCGTTTTTGGTGTATGGTTTATAATACAAACTATCATTATTTCGGTTAGTTCTATCGATACCTGAAGTTATTCTAGTAAAATCTGAATCACCCTGTATAGTGTAAAATTAGTGATTAGTGGAGTGCCCAGAGACTTTTACCTCGGAATTCAATTAGCGTGAATATATTAATGTAAAACCTTCTGTATTGTGTTTTATAGATAAAATACTAAAATGTTTACCCATTTTTTTTCGTTGCTTTTAATTTTTTATTTTAATAAATTCTTAATTATTTTCTTCTTAATTTTTTGATTTTTTTTAATTCTTTTTCTTTCACAGACCACACCTTTTTTTTGGTTTAAATTATTTTAGTTGAATTATTATAATCCTACGAGAATTAATATTTTTTTCTGTTTTCTTTCAGGCAATGTGAAAGGACATTTAAGCTTTCCCACTGCGCAGGTTACGTCCTGCCAACCAGTCGATGGGAAATACCAGTAGAAAGTAAAAGTGTATCGTACAGAAGAAGAAAAGCTTTCGACGTTTGATACAGGCTTTAAATTATTATAGATTTTATTATAATTAAGAGTAGAAACCTCGATACTCGAATCAATCGTCCTAAAAAAATCTTATATAGGCCAGACATTTCTGATGTAATTAGATTTAATTTAGGCATATTCGTAAACTGACTGATTTTAAACATATTTTCCAAAGAATTTGAAAAATTCTTTCGAAAATAGCTGGCGACGATTTTTTTATCTTTATAAAAAAACCGTCGCGACATTTGGGAGTGAATTTCTGGTTTTGGGTCTATTTATTTTTATATTTATTTCTCTTTACTAATGATGTGTATACGTACTGAATTGATGTAAATTGCCATTTTGAATATAACAATAGAAATATAGTATTTTTTAATATTAGCATGGTTTTATTTCATATTAAAGTTATATACAAAACCTCGAAATTAGTGGAATAAATTAGTGGTTTCAACGTCTAAAAAATACAATTAAAATTAATAAAATATCTTAGCAACAGCTTCCATGACATTGAATAATTTTTTTATATGCCCTCAAAATTGCTTTAATTTGAAATAATTTTAAAGTGCCAATTCATGACGTATGAAAAATACGCCCAATCACATTGCAGAACCGTGCTCGTGCGCCAGCCAACAACTGGCAACATTGTGATTTGATTTGACCAGCACCACCTCAACTCAAGGCCACTCAACATGATATGGGCAAGGCAAATATGGCGGTGAAGGCAGCGCATTAATATAAATTCTCGTTCCGATTGCATACCAGAAATAATTAATTATCTCTAGTTTATTGTGCTTCTGCAACAAGTTTGTTTAGTTCTTAGTGTTCAGTGCATGGTGTGATCAGAAAATTGTGATAAAATAACAGTGTAATAAAAATCCAAACCAGACATTCCACATAGGGAACTTCAAACTTTTGTGCTTGTCATGCTCCTCTATTATTAATTATTTTTATAAGAACTAGAAGTATTTATCAAGATATTACACCTAAATGAATAAGAAGCCTTCATCGTCAGTCTGCATGATACTTTATAATGGTTACTTACAATAATCAAAAGATAGGTATTAAAGGGTAGGTATTAACATTTTATTGCAGCATACCTTTTACATTCTCTGTTCCAAATTGTCACGAGAATTATAGGGGGGGTCCCAAGGTTTCTGCTTTTATATTACCCAAAAATGACGAGCTTCTTAAAAAATGGTTAACAGCTATTAAAAGAGATAATTTCACTCCTACTAGTAGTTCTCGTGTAAGAAGTGCATTAAATATGCCTCAAAAAGGCCAAAGGCCCCAAAGCCTCTGTTACCTTAGTGAGGATGTAGTTATGGCTACTGCTTGCACTTACCTCACTATAAGTAAAATATTGGAAGAATAATCAAGCTTTTTACATCAAAAAGATCACAGAAAGATATTGACAACATTTGAAAATATAAATGGCCTGGATGTAAGTCTTTTTTTAGGTCACAATTACCCCTCACATACGTCAGAATTTATTATTAATTCCATCTTGTTCAGAATATCCAATATTTTATTGAAGAACTATGCAAAAAAAAGGAATGGCGTCTTTACCACAAAGACAATGCCCTATGTAAAGAGGAAGAGTAAAGAAAACTATGCTAAGCGTAAGTTTTTCTTACTAACTCCCAAAAAGGTATTTAGTTTATTTTCTATATAAAATCTTGAAACACATATTATATTTTTTAGTTTAAATTTATTCCCATTTGTGTAATGCTGCTAAACATAGGAAAAATATTCCATATTTTTTGACCCAAGCCAGTGTAGTTTATAATTCCCAGGGCATTTACCAAGGCTTTTACTAAGACAAGTAACTTCCTATACTGTCCATAATAATATATATTTATCACACGTGCAGTAAATTCTAAACTATGGTAGATAAGTGTTTGCAATTGAATATTTAGTTTATATTGCTATTTTCTGTCATATATTTCTGGTTATTTCTTTTTCCGATGATTTTGAACACCCTATATATGCTACCTCAAGTTTGAATATTTTAACACTACCTACCTATTTTCTGAGAAAGCAGACCTTTTTATAAAAAGTAATTAACTGATGTTTTCATAAAAGTAATAATACAAAAATTCCATACTTATGTGGACAGCTTTAGACTCCCTGTATATTAAAAAATTAGTGAAATATTACGTAATTTAACCCGACATTTGTGTGAAAAATGTCTATTTGGAAATAAAACAGGTTTTAAAATACGCGCCAAATAAAGTACTTCAATCTCCGCCATATTGGAAAAGGTTGAATGGCCTTGTGTGGAGGTGGTGGTGGGTTAGCATGGTGGCCCGGCCGTGTTGCCGCTTTTCAACATGCCAGGTGTGACGTATTAAAAATAAAGTGCGAATTTTTGTTCTGGGCTTTTTTGTTTTTATTTATTTTCTTAAGAACGACTTCAAATTTTTCGAAAGTGAGATAGCAGAAAATTCTAGAATTAATTGCTTTATTCAATTATGCTAATTCCAAAATATAGTGAAGAGCCCATTAGGTGAACAACGCTTCTACCATTAAATCCACTAATTTCGAGGTTTTGAACGAAGCTTAAGCCTCATTTAGAAAGTTGAAATTAGTGGTTTCAATTATACTTATGCTTAAAAGTTAAAGAATTACTCGCAAATTTTGAAATATAATTAGTGGAAAACTTAAAAGTTTGTTAATTTTTTCTACTAATTGAAAATGACCCAACCACTAATTTTGACGTTTTGAATGCTTACCTTGAAATTAGAGTAACAAACTTCTACGCTAATTGAAACCACTAATTTATTCCACTGATTTCGAGGTTCTGAATGATACTATACGCTTTTAAATTTATGTTTTTAACTCTATTTAAATAAACACAAAACCAAAATATTGTAGATTTTAGAATGTTTTAATATTTTTTCACAATTTTTTGCTACACAAATAGTGTAGGTTTAAAGTAAAACCAAACAAAATGTAGAAAAGAACGTCTTTAATATTTTTCTTAAACATTCAGACTCATCATTAAACCCTAATAAACATTTCAGGCTACTAATAACAATAAAAAATACAATTGTAACTTAGTTTACCTAAATCAATAATAAATTTTGAAATCAATTATTAGTAATTGGCATGACAAATGTTTTTTTACATAGAAATTCTAACAGATTTTTTCTTCACATCAAGGTATCACAAATATATACTTAGGATTTATAAACATCTATTTACAAATATCTATCTAGTTACAGAAGTAAGTCGTGTAGTGCTTAATCATTAAGAAAATTATGTACAAATAAATTAAGAGTAATTAACTACAAGTAACATTGAGAAACGCTCACATTAATGTTTGTTATTAGATACAAACAGGTATAATACTTTTAACTATTTAGTTCTGTCTTAAAAAAACCGCATGATCGAAAAAAAACGGCGTCAAGACGGCTGTGAAATGACAATCGATTGTAATTTTGACGACGTCAATCTCTAGACGTCGTTTACTAAAAACTTTTTTTTACTCATTATACAAATAAATTACAACCTTCTATATGCCAACTAATAAATAAAGAAAAGTACGGAGCCAGTAAATGACATGTTCGCTAAAATTATGATCGATTATCAATCCCCAGCCGTCTATGACGTCGATTTTTTCGGTCGTATGGTACTATATCTGTAGTTACAAGAATTTGTTAGTTAAGTTATTATACAATTATAATAATGAAAATAATGTTCAATTCTATTTTAAAAATAACATCTGTAGAGCAATAAATATTTAGACGTTTACAGACAGAGATACAGAACAAATCCGGCCCTGGTAAATGGGGATTATACGGTATCTTTATCGGTGTTATGCAGCTTTTTTAATGTAAATAATATGAATTATTTTTGAGGACAACCATAACTAACAATAACAATCAAAGTTAAAAAATCTGGCGCTAAAAAATTACAATCCTAGCCAAATAAATTGTATTATAACAAGAATATGTTAGTATTTAGAAAATAACAAAAACACTACACCATCTTAAATTCACTGCAGCATTTCGCTGTTGTTGATTGAAAGTTTAACATTATCCATTTATAAAAAATCAATTGAATAGTAATATGATCTATAGAATGTTATATACTCCATAGAAATCTAAAGTTGTTTTTTTTTTGGATTTGGACCAAACAGATAGATAGATATAACTTTTTATATCATGGTATACAGCCTAAATCTGAGTTTAACTATCTTCGGGTCACTAGAAGAACGAAATATTTATAGACAACCCTTATTATTATTATTGATTAGCCCCCAAAAAAAAAATAGTTTGTTTATTGAAATAAATATCTACTTTAAAGAATACTGCAAATATGTTGATTTGGTTTCCTTGTAACTACCAACACTCCTTTAAAGACAAAACAATTTATAGTTCACATGTAAATCACACTGAGCTGTACACTGTACAGAATATATACACATCAAAAATAAAAAAAAAATCCTATCCTAAACATTTGTAGTTGTCACAAATTGATACTGTCAGAAACAGTTGCAAAAGTGTCACACTTCATCTGAACTACATTCCTGAACAACTGTCACCGTGGTGACGTTGTTGCCCTTGAGCGTTGACCTTGTGCTACTTTGCCTATGAAAAAAACCGTCAGGCTTTCTAGTGCTCACCCTGTGACGTGTCGACGATCGTCTTTTTTTGCGTTGCAAAGAACAAAACAGTATCTCACGCATACCTCTGGAAGTATTAAGAAATATATAATTAAACAATCATATTATATCATATGATCGAAAAAAAAAACAGCGTCAAAGACGGTTGGGGAATGCGAATCGGTAATAATTTTGGCAAGGTCGAGCCCTAGACGTTTTTATTTACTTGGCCTTACTCTTCTTTATTTTTAATGGGGCTTACTGCCAGTTAAAAAGGTTGTAATTATTTATTTTTATTTGAGTAAATTTATGGTTTAAACGCAGTAATTTAGTTTTTTTAAACTTTTACGTCTAGAGATTGACGTCGTCAAAATTATCATCGATTGTCATTGCTCAGCCGTGTATGATGCCGTTTTTTTTCAATTATACGGTATAATCCAATACAGAGTTACTCTTAAATAAGGGCACATATATTTAGAGCTGATATATTTTGATTCCTGGAATTATGGAGTTTTTTCTAATTTTTTTTAATTATGAGTAAAAAATAACATAATATTTTGATAATATTACGTCAACATAGGGAGTGGATTATACTTTGTTTTTTTTAGGTAAGATTTCGACAGACGACGACAGAAGAAAAGCAGATGACGTCCATACCAATCTATTTATTTTACTAAAAAAAGTTTCTAATATTTTTTAAGTTAACTATGGATAGGGGTAAATAGAAATCGAAAAATTTGTTGTTTTTAACTAGTTTTATTGGTTTATTTCAAAAATGACAGATCGTATTTAAATTTCATTGGTTTGACTGAACGATGAACGACAAACGGACGCCGCCGCCGATGCGTATAAACTCGCCTTTAGATTTTTGAGGCTTGTCAAAGTCTTGCTAAATTATAGGTTATAATTTTGTTTCAACTTATGTCAAATACCCTGCGTTTTGGAAGATGATGCATTTTGATCCGTGTTATTACGTGTGTTTTGTGTCTTTTGAAGTCAAGTGAAGGAAAAATCGAGGGAAAATTAACTGTAGACCCAAAGCACAGTTTATAGTATAGTTAATAGTCTATCCCAGACAGAAAGTCTTATACACCAATAAAGTTACCATCAATAAAGTTTGTATGCCATCTCGTCATAGAAAAGTGCATCTCGTATATCGTGCAAGGATCGTCTTAAACATATACTAAAAATTGGAGTAGCTGTAAAATAAGGATATCACACGATAGGTAAATAATAGATTTTAGAACTGCAGAAAAATATGTCAAAAGGTACTGATTTAAAAAAAAATAAGATTAAAGTTAATTAAACAACTGTAACGTTTTTAGTTCGTTACATGTCTTTTTTATATATAATATATGATGTCTGGCCTATCATCACCGGATTCCCTATCGTTCAGGCCGGATAGTTTATTTGACGCGTAATTTTTACGTTCCCTAGTCGCCAACCCTGTTATCGTTCGACACAACCCTGTTATTGCTCTGAGGAGGCGCTGTCAACATCGCTTCTGTCAACTGTCTCCGTGCTTAACCTCACTTTGTTTTGACGCTCTGTTGTATCCCAGCTTTTAGAAATGGTGATTATTTAAATCTTGCTGTATAATCTGAATCAGCTGCTATTTCAAAGCAACAGGTAAAGATGAAATATTATCCTTTTAGATTCGATATTATTATTGAATATTTTTAGGGTAGAGTTACGGATGTCCCAACTTGTATTTGTGTTTTGCTGGCACGTTGGCGTCCCTTTTCTTTTGTCCTCCAGAATGTCACATGGAAGAAAGGACATGTTGTTTATTATTTATTGAGCCCTCGGAAGTATTTCGAGGTAGGTTTATTTTGTTTATTAGACCTTGTTTGGTTTTAAACAAGAGTTTCATATTTTTAGGGTCCAAGGTACGGACTATTTCCAAGGTAAGGTGTCTTATGTACAGACATTATCTTATGTACAGATGTCCTGTGGACGAGTGTCCCCAATAATAACGATTTTTTCTTACATCTGAGTGCCACAGCGTGGATGTAGCTTGAGTCCCATTTCTAAGCCTAGTCAGTAGCTACGGCTGTAAGGATTCATGGTGTCCTCAATCTGGCCCCTTTTGTTGTTTTGACCAACAGGATCGCCGACAGACAGTACAGAGATGCTAGACCACCTCACGCTGCTACTGTTTGAAGCAAGGTTACATAAAAGAACAGCTAAGTGTATATTTAAGTTCTAGTTTTACATTTAACATCTAAAACATTTTCAGTCTTAAACAATAACGCACATCTTAAGTAATATCGTACAGACTATGTTCAGTGGTTAGATTGTTAAGAACATTCATGTCGATATAATCTTTAAAATATAATTTAGATCTTAGGTTTCATTGCATTACGTCTTGTAATGGTATTACTTTTATAGATATTATTGCACTATTTTAATAGATGGATAATCAAACATAGATTCTAGAATCTACAGGTTGTAACATCTTCGATTTAGCATCATATGGAATATATCAGATTAATTAAAGTAATGCTACATTTCATATTTTCTCTTAAACTTTACATGTCCTGTATTTTATCGTAGTTGTTTTCATTGATATTTAGTACGACTCTTACCACCACTTTCTTTGACATATAACCACTATATATTTACTAGAACTCTACAATGTCGTATCAGCAAAGAACGTCATGAATAAATATAGTCATTAGTTTTAAGTATTATACAACTGTGTTTTCTTTCTCTGTACATGCCTGGCGCCCAATATCTATTTTTTTGTTATTGTTATTAATTAGTTTTCTTTCCAGTGAAATACCTTATCCACGACTGCTCTCCGATGAAAAGCTGCCGTTCGCAGTGGTAGTTGTTTAAAAAAACGCTACACAACCTTTAAGGTATAAAATTCGGTAAGTGTTATTATTAATAAAATAGTTTATTTTATTTATGTTGTTTTATTTATTTCTGTTTAAGATTACAAACTTGTATTTGTACATAAAAAAATACAGAAATTTCTTGAAGCTTGAAAGTAAGAAATATTAGATCTTTTTTATATTTTTTGGTAAGTGGTGTTTTGTTCTTGATCGTCTTATACTAATACATACCGTTTTTTTTTTTAAATAACTCGATCAGATTTTTTCAGCTTTATGCAGCTTTTTTCACAATATTTTGAAGTAATCACTTGTAACTGAAATTTTAATATATTAATTTCCTGCTATGAGTTCCAGTTGTACCAACTTATTTCTTTGTAAAATAAAACAAACTACTTTGAAATTAAAATGACAGACACATCTATCAGTGTAAATAAAGACCTTGTCGTTGGACAGTCTATAAATTTAGAAGAACAAAACCGTAAAGAAACACACAAAAAATAGCTCTCTAAACAACAGAAATATTTTATTTAAATGTTCAAAGTAAAATACACTGTCATTTTTGCCTTATTTCAAAAACAGTAAAGAAAATATCTATCTTTTAGTTAGATCTACCAGCCCTAAAAATATGTACACTTATGTATACAGACTCACTCTGTATAGAGTCGTTATATTACGAGATTACATCAACCTTCAACATTTTTTCAACAAATAAAAAATATTCTTTAAAATCTATTTAAAATAATTTTGCTTTAACCAGAATATAGTGCACTAAATATTAAAATAAAACTACGCTTTACGTACCTTCTGAAATTCTTGGAGAGGAAAGCGTAAAGCAAAGGGTTTACGCCCGAGTTGAAGTAGGTACAGAGAAAAGTTAGCGGAGTAAAAATGGCGCTGAAGTTGGTGTTGCCGTGGTAGTTGGTCGACCAGTATTGCCACATTTTGCGGGCGTGAAAGGGCAAGTTGCACAAAGCGAAAGCCACAACCTGTAAACCAGAATGTTTCAGTAAAAAATAGATATTTACGTTAAACAGCGTACACACTATGCGAGAAACAACCCGAAACATGCCAAGGTCGCATTTCGTCGCCCAGCTTTTAACGCATTTCGATTTATTTCCAGTTGTCTTGACCCACTTCGCTTTGCCTCTACCTACTTTCGAGTCTTAAAGCGCCTGAAAACTACTCGTGAGGAGGGCGAGGGGGGATTTTTTGGCATTTTTTGTCGCCTCGTTCAATTTTGTTTTGTTTTGAGCTATTTCCAAAACGTGGCGGTATCTGTACCCGAGGCAAAGGATTTTTTTCCATAAACCTCAGTGAAATAAGCAAACCTACACGTTTCTAAAATAGCTGTTGTTACGATGATATTTCGTTTTATGTTCTATTGATATATACTCCACAGAATTAATATTTAAACACGCGTTTATTATATACAGAGTGATTCAGATTTTACTAGAATAACTTCAGGTATCTCTCGATAGAACTAACCGAAATAATGATAGTTTGTATTATAAACCATACTCCAAAAACGTTTCCGCTTGGAGTAAAATGGCGCTAAAATTTGAATTATTTTTCATATGGCATGCTGCTAATTAAGTAACATTTTTCGAACGCAGCTGAGCTATGTCCGGAATTTTGTGGAATATCTCGAAAACTAAGCGACATATCAAAAAATATAAACTAAGCGACATACCAAACCAAACCAAATTTTGGCGCCATTTTACTCCAAGCGGAAGCGTTTTTAGAGCATGGTTTATAATACAAACTATCATTATTTCGGTTAGTTCTATCGACACCTGCAGTTATTCTAGTAAAATCTGAATCACCCTGTATACAGGGTGATTCACCACATACGACACGGAGTATTGTAGCTAAACGATTAGATTTTTACAAATTGTAAGTTTTGGGTTCGTTGAAGGACTATTAGAGCTACAATTTAAAAATATTTTTACAAGATACAGAGTGTCCCAAATAAATAAAAAGTATCAAAGTTGTATTTTTTTAAATGGAACACCCTGTATATTATTACATTTTTAGTTTCTACGATTAAAATAAAGGTAAATTTGATAAAGGTTTATTACACTTAAACCTTATCGTTTTTGAAATATTTTCAATTTTGTGTAATTGCAGTCAAAATTTTAAGGCTTCATTTCTCCAAGGGTATCAAAGTTTTTAATACTAAATATTTACTGAAGTTTATGTATTGATCAGTTATTGTGTTGCAATAATAAAAATTATACTACCTTATACAGAGTGTCTAAAATTTTATTTTAAATAATTACTAGCTTTAAACGGCAATAACTTGTTTAATTTAAATAGAACATCCTGTATATTTTATGAGATTCAGATGCACAATTTAATTGTCTATCAAATTGTATTACGCCATTTTTTACCTATCGCTTCAAGTTTCCGTAGAAAATGCATTTTCTTGTAATTTTAAATTCATTTATCAATATACCCATGGAATACTGACATTTTAGATTATTTTTAAAGATGTACCAAATTTTTAAAGAGTACAGATACTAATATTGTCGATATAATTTGTAAATTTCATAATAAAGCAATGTTATTTTATTGTTCTTAAGAGAAATCTGTAAACGATACTTTTATTAGCACTCAGCATGGTTTTATATAAATCCATTTATTATGCAGGGATTTAGACAATTAAAACTTGAAAAACAAAACCAAATTCGTAAACTAAACTTTGCTACAGACTACAGTATAAATGTTACTTTACCATAACCAGAAATAATAAATAATTAGACAATTTTTTAAATAATTTTGTGTATGTTTTCTTCATGAGGCACAATACTGTGGATTATAAGCCGATAAATGGTAGACCGCTAGTTAGTCACTGTTTTATATATTTTCACTATATTGTAATTAATAATATTAGACAATGATTAATACTAAATATTCTTGTGTAACCCTCGAGGAATAGCCAATTTAATTTACCATCGTTACTGTTTTCATATCAGTTTTTCCATGTTTACTTATTTTTCTGAAGCCACCTCAACGTTTGACCACAGATTAGGTATCCTATAAGTATACAGATAAAAATCTTGTCCCTAATTCGTGGTACGAAAATTGTTTTTTATGACGATGTGCAAACGAGTCAAATTTCCTGTGCGCAAAAATAAACTCGCGTAAAATAACAATAAACAGCGTAATAGAGAGATATCGCTAAACCGAATAGCGTGCATGGACGTTAATAAGGCCAGGTGTTATTTCCTTTACGTGAGGTGGTATTAGTATTAACTCTCTTCATTAGTTATCGGATAGGAAAGAATTCTGATCGCGTCGCGTCCGCTATTTAAACTTAACCTAACTTTGAATTTAAAACTTTGAAATTGTTTTGTTTACTAGGTATTATAAAACTAAAGGGCTAAAGTGCTTAATTCCAGTGCTTTATTGTTCAACATCTGCCAATGGGTTTAGGGCAACAAGCAACAAATTCTCTTAGAAGGGCTAAGTCGTCATCTGCTGTAAACCTAAGACTCTTTATAGGTTCTTTAGTATTGGAAGAGGTGGAATCCATATTTTGGGCCATATTTATTTAATTAAAACTAATCCCAGCTACTTAAATATCAAATTTTCTAATAAAACTAAAGCAATAATTCAAAACAATTCAAACATAACTTAAAACAAAAGATCTCGCCGGCCGGCTCCGGTTGTCAAATACCCGCACATGCCCATTTAAGCAATTTTTAAACGTTATTAGAGGTTATTTGAAAAAGCGCTTGGTGTAATTGATCCGCAAATTACGTCAGGCGGTAACGTTATTAGCGGGTGATGCGTTAAAAATTGACTCGCGCATATCGTAACCATGATAAGGTACGCGTAAATACTGGATGACGCTATTCGGTTTTCCGATATATCTCTAATAACTGTGCCGGTCAGGCGCTGTGCACAATTTTAGAGGTCATAAGTGGGCATGCTATGTGCGCAAACTAGTTACCTAACTAGTGCCCGATTCCGAAAATTGGAACCACGAAAAACAATAAAGAATAAACAAAGATTATAATCTGTATAATCTGTGGTTTGACCTTGATTGCTCTCATTGTTGTTTGTTTTTTATTGTCAATCTGGTCCTGTTAAAAACCATGTGACAATCCAAAGATTAAACTTAAATAAATAAATCAAAGGAAATAAATCTTTGATTTTTCTCTGATTAAAGTTTCTACAGTTACTTACTATTCCTCATAGTTTCTACAAAATGTATGAAACTATAAAGACTAAAAAGTGTCTAATTTCTTTTGACACTCTATAAAACACTTTCAGTTTAATTAAAACGGAAAATGAGCCTTTATTCGCTGCCTGCAATTTGCATTCGAGTTACACCCGTCACGTTTTTTTTTTGAAGACAGCAAGTTTAAAATTAGAGGTAGATATCGCGAATTAGAGCCGGAATCTGAATTCATCAAGGTAAAACTGCAGCAGTTTGGGACCAGGTGCATTGTAAAACATGCATTCGTATTTTGTGTGGCGTGAAATTTTTCATTTCCCGCGTTTTACAATTGTTGCACGTCTGGCCTAAACCGTTTCCGACGGCACAAAGTTCGCTTAAATGTAGAAGTTTTTTTGTAGAGGAACAGAAGTTGCACTTGGGGGAAAACCTTTGCAAAGATCAGGGCGTTTTTTTTTGTTATTCTAGTTAATATACATGGCTGACTCTGTTCTGTTATACACAGATCATTTTTTTTAAATTCTATATCTATACTTTTTTTGGGTTCCGTATCTTAGGGCTCGAACACACTGACGACCAGGTCACACCGGCCAGGCCGCAGCTACCTCTAAAACCATTAAATCAAATGATATAGCGCACACTAACGTCCTGGCCGTCCGTTGGTCGTTGCGAACAGAAGACTGCACCGAAATATTATTATTTTCTGCCGCTTGTTGCCAGTTTTCTTCCAAATTAATAATTTTTCAGATGAAATCCCTCAAATTCAAGGCGCAGTATTTTATTTTCTATAAGATATAGTGTTTTAGTGTAGTTTTTGCACACGTGCAGAAAATCCAAAGAAATAGTATACAGACTGGATCAAAGGTAAACTTAAATCTAATCCCTTTTTTTTATCAAGGGTCGATTCTAGTAAAAACTCAAAACATTTTTATATGACATACCTACTATATTTATGGTTGGTATGATACCTGTTATTATATTTTTGAGTTTCGATGTTAAAAAATAAAAAAAATATATTTAACGTTTTTCTACAACCACTTGTTTTTTTTTATTAAATTAGTTTTTTTTAGTTGTATTGTAGTCATGTACAAGGAGGACAACTGTATTTTAAATATTATATTTAATTTAACGTTTTTCAAACAGAGTCCATTAGACTATATTACTACTAGGTACATTATTTTTAAAAAAAATTAAGAGTAAAAGTAACTTAAACATTCATAAAAATAGAAGTAATTACTGTTGTAGATTCTCAGTAACAATAAAAAAGAGGAATTTATATTGTAAACATTGAAATAACTGGAAGCTAAACTTTCTACCTGCTTATTTTTAGAGCCAGTGTCTGACGACCTTTTTTTACGATGACCCTAATATGTTTACTTCTAAAGTTTATAAGAGATCAGTAGAAGTCCATATCAGTAGAAAAAAGAAACAGAATATATCCCTTTTTGTCGGTCGCGCGTACACAATACTTTTTGTTCGGCCTATTTGTTCTTCTTGTTCGTGCGCGCTCGGTTCGTTCGGGCTAAAATGCTCAAGTCTGGACGCACCTTTAGGAACAATACTGTTTTTGTCCTTTATTGATATAATGCTGAAAATCTCACGAGTTACATGTCTCACTCTACACATATTAAATTACATAGACGTAGGATGTAGGATATTCTGATATGAAACAACTGATGGAATAGCAGGCATCGCGGATTTGAAAAACATGGAAATAACGGAGATTTTATTTGCTCCATTTACTACACCAGTATTTATTAACGAATTTTACATAGTCGGGGTTGGAGATTTTACTTACTCCAT